GTAGAGACGGGGTTTCACCATGTTGACCAGGATGGTCTCGATCTCTCGACCTCGTGATCCACCCGCCTCGGCCTCCCAAAGTGCTGGGATTACAGGCTTGAGCCACCGCGCCCGGCATCTTTTATTTTTTTCTGAGTTACTTTGTTTTCTTTTTTCTGCTGACTACCTACTCATCTGTTATAACTTTTTTATTGTGTAAGAACACAACATGAGATCTACCTTCTTAACAAAATTTTAAGTGTAACATCTCCTTTTAATTTGGATAAAATAGTAGGCATTGGGCTGGGCACAGTGGCTCATGCCTGTAATCCCAGCACTTTGGAAGGCCAAGACCCGAGGATCACCTGAGGTCAAGAGTTTGAGACCAGCCTGGCCAACCTGGTGAAATCCCATCTCTACTAAAAATACAAAATTAACTGGGTGTGGTGGTGCTTGCCTATAATTCCAGCTACTCGGGAGGCTGAGGCAGGAGAATCACTGGAACCCAGGAGGCCGAGGTTACAGTGAGCCGAGATGGTGCCATTGTACTCCAGCCTGGGTGACAAGAGCAAAACTCCATTTCAAAAAAAAAAAAAAAGTGGATATTGAGTGCTTATATGTTAAGCACTTTGTATTTGATCATTTTAACCCCCACAACAAAACATTAATCGTTAATATATGATAAATAACAATTAAAGGTATTAATAAACCCATTTCACAGGTAGGACATGGAGAGAGGATGAGTGAATAATGCATGGTCATACAGTTACAGAGTTGGGATTTTTTTTTTTTTTTTTTTTTTTTTTTTTTTCCAAAACAGGGTCCTGCTTTGTCTCCCAAGCTGGAGTGTAGTGGCATGATCACAGCTCACTGCAGCTTCTACTTTCTGGGCTAAAGCCATCTTCTCACCTCAGCCTCCTGAGTAGGTGGGACTACAAGTGTGCACCACCATAGCCAGAGAATTTTTGTGGGGGTGTTTGTTTGTCTGTTTGTTTTGAGACAGAGTTGGGGTTTCATGTTTTGGCCAGGCTGGTCTCAAACTCCTAACCTCACGTCATCCACCCACCTCAACTGCCTAAAGTGCTGGGATTACAGGCATGAGCCATCAGGCACCACCAGAATTTCTGTATTTTTTGTAAAGACAGGGTTTCACCATGTTGCCCAGGCTGTTCTCAAACTCCAGGGCTCAAGCAATCTGCTGGCCTCAGCCTCCCAAAGTGCTGGGATTACAGGCGTGAACTACCATGCCCTGCCTACAGAGTTAGGATTTAAATTCAGGCAGTCCAACTTCAGAGCTCTTGCACTTCTTTAGAGACACTCTGTGTCTTGTTCCAGTTCTCCTTTCTCCAAATGGGATTATTCTATCTCCGTAAACCTGTCATTTCCCTTTGAGTCAGGAAACCTAGGACTGATGCCAAAGACCCTGAATAGATTTATAGTAGGGACCAGAGCCATGGAACATTCCCTTTCCATCATTTAATTCAATCTCTGATGAAGTCTATACCAGTAATTCCCCTGGACAGACATCTTGCTCATATCATTCTCAACAAGGTAGCTTCTAACCCTATCTGGAGGACTGGATAGCCATTCTGGCAGACCAGTGGCCCTAGTCACAAAGGAAAAAGAAACTGCTGTTTGCAAGCAGCTGTATTTGCTAAGACACAGTGACAGCCTGTAATCCCAGCACTTTGGGAGGCCAAGGTGGGCAGATCACTTAAGGTCAGGAGTTCAAGGCCAGCCTAGCCAACATGGTGAAACCCCAGCTCTACTAAAAACACAAAAATTATCTGGGAGTGGTGGCAGGTGCTTATAATCCCAGCTACTCAGGAAGCTGAGGCAGAATTGCTTGAACCTGGGAGGCTGAGGTTGCAGTGAGCCGAGATCATGATACTGCACTCCAGCCTGGGCAATAGAGTGAGACCTCATTTCTTAAAAAAAAAGAAAAAATAGCCGGGCGTGGTGGCTCAAGCCTGTAATCCCAGCACTTTGGGAGGCCGAGGCGGGTGGATCACAAGGTCGAGAGATCGAGACCATCCTGGTCAACATGGTGAAACCCCGTCTCTACTAGAAATACAAAAAAAACTAGCTGGGCATGGTGGCACGTGCCTGTAATCCCAGCTACTCAGGAGGCTGAGGCAGGAGAATTGCCTGAGCCCAGGAGGCGGAGGTTGCGGTGAGCCGAGGTCGCGCCATTGCACTCCAGCCTGGGTAACAAGAGCGAAACTCCGTCTCAAAAAAAAAAAAAAAAAGAAAGAAAAAGAAAAAATAGACACTGACAAAATGCCTTTTAAGGAAATGATATTTGGGGAGATAATGCTGTCAGTAGTTTTGATAGGAACTCGGCACTGAGTTCCTACTGAGGAAGGGCAGAGAACATCTGTAGACTTCTGTGGCTGGGTTCTCCTCCACGTTCCACCTCTTTCACATGCCTCACACACCCCTGCATCCCTCCTGCCCATCCTCTATTCCACTTGCCCTGTAATTTTTAACCTGAGGTTTTTTGTTTTTTGGGCGGTTTTTTTTTGAGACAGAGATTCACTCTTGTTGCCCAGGCTGGAGTGCAATGGCACAATCTCGGCTCACTGCAACCTCTGCCTCCTGGGTTCAAGCAGTTCTCCTGCCTCAGCCTCCTGAGCAGCTGGGATTAGAGGCATGCACCACCATGCCTGACTGAATGTGTATTTTTAGCTGAGACAAGGTTTCTCCATGTTGATCAGGCTGGTCTCAAACACCTGACCTCAGGTGATCCGCCCACCTCAGCCTCCCAAAGTGTTGGGATTAGAGGTGTGAGCCAGTGCACCTGGCCAACCCTGAGTTTTGACAACCCCAAACCTTGTCCCTTCATAGAGTAGACAGGCAGGTAGGTCATTGCAGTAAAGAACCCAGACTCTGGAACTAGACCATGTGGTGGCAACTTTAGACAAGTCACTCAACTGCTCTTGGCCTTGATTTCCCCATTTGTAAAATGGCATTGACAATTATAGGCTCTGCTTTAGCTAGATGAGTTAAAATGGGTAGAGCATTTAGAACAGCACCTGACACACACTGATTGTAAGCGCTCAATAAGTGTTTTGCCCTGCCACTTGATTAATGGCTTTGTGAAATGGGCAGGTCACTCTGAAAGAGGGCATGATTATGATGTAGTGATTAAGCGCACTATGTTTGACATCAGATGCCCCTGAATCTTTTTTGTTTTTTTTTTCTGGAGACAGGGTCTCATTCTGTCATCCAGGCTGGAGTACAGTGGTGCAATCTCAGCTCACTGCAGCCTCAATCTCCCAGGCTCAAATGATCCTCCCATGTCAGCCTTCTGAGTAGCCAGGACTACAGGCATTCCTGCATGCCATTTGGTTCTGTTCTCGTCTCCTGTCCCTTCCACCCACAAGCCGGCAGTCCCAGGAGACAGAGCCTCTTTCTTTTCTTTTCTTTTTTTCTTTTTTTTTTTTGAGACAGAGTTTCGCTCTTGTTACCCAGGCTGGAGTGCAATGGCGCGATCTCGGCTCACCGCAACCTCCGCCTCCTGGGTTCAGGCAATTCTCCTGCCTCAGCCTCCTGAGTAACTGGGATTACAGGCACGTACCACCGTGCCCAGCTAATTTTTTGTATTTTTAGTAGAGACGGGGTTTCACTATGTTGACCGGGATGGTCTCGATCTCTCGACCTCGTGATCCACCCGCCTCGGCCTCCCAAAGTGCTGGGATTACAGGCTTGAGCCACCGTGCCCGGCCTCAGAGCCTCTTTCTATTCAATATCTCCCCCTTGTAGGAATGTAAGTAAACAAAACACCCCTCTCCACCACCCCTCTCCCATCTTACCTTAAGATTAGGGAAGACTGTGGTTGAGGGCAGCCTGTATTCCTGAACGTTATCTCTGTGGGCTTGGCTCCAGAGCCCTCAGCAGGAAGAGGGAGTGGACCTGCCACCTGAGACTCTGGGCTTATAATGAGCAGCGTCCTGAGCCCTCTGCTGGGGAGTCTTGGGCTCCATTCTGCTTGCTCCTTGCAGGGCCTTTTCAGGAAGTCAAGGGCCCTTGACACTTTAAGGAGTGCCCACATCATGTCAAAAATATTAAAATGCACTCACACCCCACATGAAATGTAGGCTCTTTTTGGTTGTTGTTGTTTTTGTTTGTTTCCGAGACATAGTTTCATTCTTGTTGCCCACGCTGGAGTGCAATGGCGCAATCTCGGCTCACCGCAGCCTCCGCCTCCCTCCCAGGTTCAAGTGATTCTCCTGCCTCAGCCTTCCTCCGGAGTAGCTGGGATTACAGGCATGCACCACCACGCCTGGCTAATTTTTGTATTTTTAGTAGAGACAGGGTTTCACCATATTGGTCAGGCTGGTCTCAAACTCCCAACCTCAGGTGATGCGACCGCCTCAGCCTCCCAAAGTGCTAGGATTACAGGCGTGAGCCACCGCACCCAGCCTGAAATGTAGTTTATACATAAACTATATATACAAACTGAATTGAGTTGCAATTGATTGGTTGAGATTTTGTTTTGTAGTCATTTATTTCAATATTTATCCAATGCCATTTTGCAACTATCATATTTATTTTGGAAACAACAACCCTTTTTTTAAAGTTTCAATCATAGGCCCTAGCCCCTAAGCCATTGTGTCTAAGGGACAGGCCAGCAGTGCCTCCAGTGCCTAGGTTGACTTAGTTAGAGTCCCTGGTCCCAGAGCTTGTCAACTCCAGAGCCCATGTGGACCATGCTCACCCTATCCATTCATCCACCATCCATCCATTTGTTTGTTCATTTGTTCATCCGTCCATCCATCCATCCCTCCATCCACCCACGCACCCACCCATATCTATCTGAGCTGCCTATGGTAGGAAAAAAGCAACTTGGCCAGAGGGCTAGGGAAGACAAGCATGGTGTGAGACTGCCCTCTAGAGATTGCTCCAGGAAAGTGCAGGTGGGGAGCTCCCTCTTTCAGGCTAAGATCCCCCCACCACTCGCTCACTCACTCATATTTATTGAGCGAGTACCTACCAGTATCCAGCATCACGTACTTTTGTGCTCTGATAACAAAGGGCAAATACAAAGAGGCATAGAGCATGTCTCTGTTCTCCAGGAGGTCACCATGTTATAGCAGCGACTGCAAACATAAGTGATTACTGTTCTGTGCACTGACTACTGGAGTGGATGTGCACCAAGTTCTATGGGAGCACTGAGGACAAGGAAATAAGTCTGGGGCAATAGCAGAAGTCATCATAGGGAAGGTGACATTCAAGATGGGCCTTGAAGGATGTGTAGGAGTTCACTATGCAGTGCTGGGAAGGAAAGGCATCTGGGACAGAAGAAATGGCAGTGTAAAAATGCGGGCTTGTTGGGGGCCACTGAGAGGTGTGGCAAAGCTGGAGCATGCATAGGACTGAACAGTCAAGACTCAGCTGGAGAGGCAGGCAGGGCCAGATAGGGAGGAAACTCCCACTCAAAAGACAGGAGGTGAGTCAAGTGTGGTGCTCACCTATAGTCCCAGCTACTCGGGAGGCTGAGATGGAAGGATTGGTTGAGCCCAGAAGTTAGAGGCTGCAGTGAGCTATGATCACACCTGTGAATAGCCACTGAACTCCAACCTAAGCAACATAGTGAGACGCCCTCTCTTAACAAAAAAAAAAAAAAAAAGAGCCGGGCGCGGTGGCTCAAGCCTGTAATCCCAGCACTTTGGGAGGCTGAGGCGGGTGGATCACGAGGTCAAGAGATCGAGACCATCCTGGTCAACATGGTGAAACCCCGTCTCTACTAAAAATACAAAAAAAAAAAATTAGCTGGACATGGCGGCGCGTGCCTGTAATCCCAGCTACTCAGGAGGCTGAGGCAGGAGAATTGCCTGAACCCAGGAGGTGAAGGTTGCAGTGAGCCAAGATCGCGCCATTGCACTCCAGCCTGGGTAACAAGAGCGAAACTCCGTCTCAAAAAAAAAAAAAAAAAAAAAAAAAAAAAACAGAAAACAGGCCATGCACAGTGACTCATGCCTGTAATCCCAGCACTTTGGGAAGCTAAGGCAGGAGGATCACTTGAGGCTAGCAACTCCAGACCAGCCTGGGCAACATAACAACATGTATTTTTTTTTATCTTTGCAAAAAAATACAAACATTAGTAGAGCACGGTGGCACAAGCCTGTAGTCCCAGCTACTTGGGAGGCTGAGGTGTGAAGACCACTTGAACCAAGGACATCAAGGCTGCAGTGAGCCATGATCACACCACTGCACTCCAGCCTGGGTGAGAGAGAGAGAGACCCCATCTCAAAAATAAAACAAAGCCGGGTGCACAGTGGCTCACACCTATAATCCCAGTACTTTGGGAGGCCAAGACAGGAGGATGACTCGAGCCCAGGAGTTTGAGGCTGCAGTAAACTATGATTGTGTCATTACACTCCAGCCTGGGCAACAGAGAGAGACCCTGTCTTTAAAAAACAAAAACAAAAACAAAAGTAATGGAAGGCTCATCCTTAAGCTTTAGTAGGATACATGGTGGCCCAGCCAGAGACTGGATTTAACAGCCTTCCTTGCAGCTAGATGTGGCCCTGGGACTAAGTTCTGGCCAATGGGAGGCAAGCAGTAAGGACGTGTGCAACTTCTAGACCCCAAGCTTAGAGGAAGAAAGTTGCTTGCTCTTCACTTTTCTCCTTCTTGCTGATTGAGAAATGGTAACACCGGGAGCAGCTACCTTAGCCGCAGAGTTGAGGATAGCAGTCACTCTGAAAGCCCCAGGCTGCTCACCTCTTACTGCATGAAAAACAAATGATCGCTTTCACTTTCGGGAAGCGTCGGGCTTAGGTGAAGGCACGCAGTTGCCTTTTGTAAATTAAAATGATAATTGGGCCAAAACGTACAGCCTTACCTGAAAGGCAGCGCAGTCGGGACATTGGTAGGTCGGGGACAGCTTTGGAAACCCTTAGGTTTACAAGCATGCGCGGACGTGAGTGCTCATTAGGTCGCGGGGTGGCCAGGTGCAGCCCAGGACCCTGAACCCGGGCGCGCGTGGGCCGTGCACCCGGGGACTCTGGCGAAGCGTGTTTGGCCGTCGGTGTCATGTGGCCAACTTGAGTCTAGTCGCTCTTCGTGCCTTAGCACCTCGAGAACCGTCAGTTTGCACCAGATGGAAGCTGAACTGAACTCATTACGATGGATGATGGAAACAGACTCGAGAAATCAAAAGTGGTAGTGGGTGAAGTCTATTCGGCGTCCTGCAGTGGATTTATCTTAGTTGGGGAAACGGATGTTTCGAATGACGTTGTGGAAGTTATCAGGATGCCCATTTTCAATATAGGCCTGAATTGTTTAACGTTAATTTTTAAGGTGGTCCTTAAATAAAATGCATAATTTTTTTAAAAAAATGATCTTCTTTCGGATCTATCTTACCTAAGCCACTGGATTCTGGCACCTCTTTGTTATAGCAGGTTACCATGTACCTTTAATTAAAGCAGAATGTTTTTCTAAAATAATCCTTCCCTGTTAGAAAAGTGGGCAAAAGGCATGAGGTGATGGTTTACTCACACACAAAAAAGGCTACAAATGGCCTTTACTTATGTGAAAATATACTCAACTTCACTTAGAAGAGAATTGCAAATTGGTCAGGGGCAGTGGCTCATGCCTGTAATCCCAGCACTTTGGAGGCTGAGGTGGGCGGATCACCTGAGGTTGGGGGTTCAAGACCAGCCTGACCAACATGGAGAATCCCCATCTCTACTAAAAATACAAAAAAATTAGCCGGGCATGGTGGTGCATGCCTGTAATCCCAGCTACTCAGGAGGCTGAGGCAGAATTGCTTGACCCCGAGAGATGGAGTTTGCAGTGAGCCAAGGTCACACCATTGCACTCCAGCCTGGGCAATAAAAGCGAAACTCCGTCTCAAAAAAAAAAAACAGAAGAAAGAAAGAAAAAAGAAATGCAAATTACAACCACACTATGAGACTACTTCTCATTAATCAGATTGGCAGAAATTCAAAGGCTCGAACACACAGGCTGGGCAAGGCTGTGTGGGAAATAGGTATTCTCGGCTGGCTGGTGGGAGTGCAAAATGGACCAGGTACAGTGGATCATGCCTGTAGTCCCAACGCTTTGGGAGGCCAAAGTGGGAGGATCTCTTGAGGCCAGGAGTTCCAGGCTGCAGTGAGCTATGAATGCACCACTGCACTCTAGCCTGGGCAATAAAGTAAGACCCCAACTCTAAAAAAAATAAAACACAGAAGAAAAGAAACGTATCAAAATTGGCACTATCTTCCCCCAAGAGGGCAAAAGCTTGTCCCCTTACTCCATGAGAGGAGCAATTCATGTTCTGGAGCTCCCCATGGGCTCAGGCTGCATGTGATCACCAAATGAGATCAGATCCTTGCATCCCTTTCCCTGCTTCCCTTATGTCCTGTTCCAGAGAACAGTCTGTCCATCAGTCACTTGCACAAGCATCCCTGACTCAGGCTGTGCTCTAGAGAACCCAACCTAAGACACATGACCCTTACTAAACCAGTCAACGGCAAGAAAATGGAATGGCTGGCACTAACTCAGGCTCTGTCCCTGTGTGAGTAGCCAGCACACAGAATATCGCAGAGGAGGAACACCAGGCCCAAACTGGTGAATGATTAAGAAGTAAGAAGAGGCTGGGTGTGGTGGCTCACACCTGTAATCCCAGCACTTTGAGAGAACAAGGCAGGTGAATCACGAGGTCAGGAGTTCAAGACCAGCCTGGCCAATATGGTGAAACCCCGTCTCTACTAAAAATACAAAAAATAGCCAAGCGTGGTGGCATGTGCCTGTAATTCCAGCTATTCAAGAGGCTGAGGCAGAAGAATTGCTTGAATCCAGGAGGCAAAGGTTGCAGTGAGCCAAGAGGGTACCACTCCAGCTTAGGCAACAAAGCGAGATTCCATCTCAAAAAAAAAAAAAAAAGAAGAAAGAAAAGAGAAAAGAAGAAGTAAGAAGAAAACATGGTTCTTGGTAAGGCAATCAAACTAACAGAGGTTCTCTAGCAAGTAACACTGTTGGGGAAAAAAAAGAAGTAACCCTTGACCAGGCACAGTGGCTCACACCTGTAATCCCAGTACTTTGGGAGGCTGAGGTGGGTGGATCACCTGAGGTCAGGAGTTCAAGACCAGCCTGGCCAACATGAGGAAACCCAGTCTGTACTAAAAATACAAAAACTAGCTGGGTGTGGTGGTGAGCGCCTATAATCTCAGCTACTTGGGAGACTGAGGCAGAAGAATTGCTTGAACCCAGGAGGTGGAGGTTACAGTGAGCTGAGATCGTGCCATTGCACTGCAGCCTGGGCAACACAAGCAAGATTTTGTCTCAAAAAAAAAAAAAAAAGAAAAGAAAAGAAATCTGTAAGATCTTTTCTTTGTTTTTGTTTTCAGACAGGATCTCACTCCGACAGGGTCTCGCTCAGTTGCCCAGGCTGGAGTGCAGTGGCACAATAAGAGCTCACTGCAGCCTTGATCTCCTGGGCTCAAGCAATCCTCCCACCTCAGCCTCCCGAGGCCCAGCTATTTTTTTTTTTATTTAAGTAGCAATGAGGTCTTGCTGTGTTTCCCAGACTGATCTCAAAATCCTGAGCTCAAGTGATCCTCCAGCTTTGACCTCCCAAAGTGATGGAATTACAGGCATGAACTACCACATCTGGCCAGATCTCAGCTGTTAGAATAAGGGTATTGATTCGTTAATTCAATAATTTACTAAGCAAGCACCTACTCCATGCCAGGTACTATCCTAAACACAGTGAACAAAACAGGCAAAGATCCCTGCCCTCAAGGATCTTAAATTATAGAAAGAATTAAGATGAAAAATATAACAGTAAACATAACAAATAATGATATTTGTTGGTTACCATTACAATAGAATGGTATGTTAGGAGGTGCTACGTACTCTGGAGGAAATAATAGAGCAGGGTAAGAAGTGCAGGGAGACTTGGAAAGGGGTGATTGCAATCTTAAATAGGGAGGTCAGGCAGGTCTCACCGAAAAGGCAAGATTTGAGCAAGACATGAAAGAAACCAGGGAGTGAGCACGTGGAAAATAGAGGGGCAGAGGAAGAACCTGCCTGGCGTTCAAGTCACAGCCAAAAGGCGAGGGGGGCTGCAGCAGAGGACCCTGGGGGATAA